TTTATTTTATTTTATTTTATTTTATTTTATTTTTATTTTTATTTTATTCCAGCATGAACAAAATCTAAATCTACATCTTAAAAATGGTCAATTAAAAAAAAAAAAAAAAAAAAAAAAAAAAATCAATTCAAATTCAAAATTAACAAATTCAAGTGTTTTATTTTTATGATTAGCATTAAAATTATAAACAGGAAGAAAAGACTTTAAAGTATATATATATATATATATATATATATCCTTTAATATACATTAGATATATATATATATAGCTCCTTTAATATGCATAAAATTAAATTAAACAAATTAATGAATTTGTTGAATAAACATTTTGTTTTTATTTATTGCTAATTTCTAAGCCATTTAGATTTATATAAAAACACTTCAATAATATTATTCTATATCAAAATCATGTTTGTTTGCAGCCAGCTTGCATAACAGGTCTTTATCCTCCTGAAGGAAGAATAAATAAATAAATAATAAAAACAATACTGTCTGTCTCCTCCGTAATCCCTACCACATGTTTGCTTTGATGGTTGTGGAGGGTTGCGGGTGTACGTAATTATGCTACCTCATCAAACCAGAGATGTTTTGTTGCCATTATTTTTTACACTCACAATAGATGTGTAATAGATGTTTTTCTTTACCCTCTGTTTCTTATTAAGCATTCTCACTTCAGAGTGAGTATAGTAAATCCCTATTTTACACATGCCGGGATGCAGTTTCTCTGTTCTTGTGGCTAAAGATCACATCACGTTCTCAAGCATCTGGGGGTGTTTTTAGCGCTCCGTCATTGTTGTTGATAGTGTACAGGTCTGTTTCTTTTTTATTATCATTTTGGGGGGTGGGGTGGGGTGGGGGGTGATATTAACAAATTCAAGATGTTATTTTTATGATTAGCATTAAGATTATAAACAGGAAGAAAAGACTTTAAAGTTTTTCTCAATGACACAGAAAGACCGTGGGTGGCTACTTCAAAGTAAAATACCTTCCTCTAACGGGCCTTAATGAGTTACAGCGTTTAACAGCCTTGACTAGCTATGCCTTCTGGGAAAAAGAAAACAATCTATACCCTTACCATAGAAGTGTGTCTGTTTAAGAAGCTCCTATGCGTTTATTTCCAGTAACATTCTCTACATATACACTTTTTTTATGGTTTAAAGGAGTAGTTCACTTAAAAAAAAAAAAAAAAAAAACTTTTGCTGATAATTTACTCACCCCATGTCATCCAAAATGTCCATGTCTTTCTTTATTCAGTCGAAAAGAAATGAAGGTTTTTTTTTTTAAAGTGAACCACTCCTTTAAGGCCCTTTGTTATAGCCAGAATGAGTTTATGAATAGCCAGTTATATGTTTACAATTAAAATGTAAAATGGTTTGCTATTTGAATGAGAAACCTGTGACAAAAGCCTTGACAGTTTTAGGGTATTGCAAAAATAACAAAATCTAGTGAGGATAGGAGCAGGATTCACTCATGAGAGGCTTGGTATATTTTTAACTTAAACTCATGAATCCCGAATGGGATGACTGAAGATCTTTCACTAAGTTGTTTCTTATAAATGGAACACTAATATGTGTTTTGTACGTCCATTTTTGTACATGTATAACAGTCATTGTTTTTCATTAATGGACTTTTAGAAACATTAGTGACATTATTGGAGTGATTATCACTTTAACATTATTGGTTGGTGTTAATATGGGTGTATCAATGGGTGTGGGCATATAAGATTGGCTACATTGTGATCTTGTTGCACAGTGCCGAAACGCATCTGTGCAAAGAAATAGAACATATGCATAGTGCGGCCTCTCTCCTATGTTTCGAAAAATAACAATCTGCCATTCTGAAACGCCAACAGTTTAAATTGTTATCCTGATTCAACATCTACTTCAAAAGGCGTAAGATTTTGGCTCTCAAATCAAAGGGACGAGCAAAATAACGTCTGTTTAAATAAGAGCATTTACAACACACTGCTCCGTCGCGTTGTGCTCACAAACAAAGATGGATAGGCCAGAAACAAGTCATTTAATTAGCGCTGGAACCCCCGTCTCCGACTCTTCAGCCAATTACACATTCCAACAGCATCTGCAGGTCCTATTTCACAGGAGGGAAGCAAATCTTCCCTGGCTGGGCTTCTTACAGTACATCTTTTCTCTTCCATTTAAGAGAAGGTAAATAGCAGAGATGGACAGCTTCATTAGACAGCATCTGAGGAGCAGGCAGGGCGGATTGTCGCTTAAATAGTGGGCTTTTACTGGAGGGCTAACCAGCGACCTCAGATCAATTACAGCTGACATTATTGTTTGTCGTGAGCTCTTCCAGGATAGAGGAGTAGAGGCAGAACAAGCCCTGGCTCTGCTGAAAATGTAATTTTCCTCCTCTTTTGCTTTCATTCCACAAACAATAAATCACTCAGTTGAAGAGATAATAAAGTGCCAAGTAGGAGCTGGTTTAATTTTTGTCAAGGGAAAGCTTCCACCCTCACAGGATAATGCAGGTTTTACCAGAGAATAGTTGCTTCAGTCTGTCTCTTTTTAAGGGCCACTGGAATCAAAATTCATCTGTTTGACAATAATATCTCAGTTCCTAATTCATGCAGAGTTCAGCAGTGTATGGCTGTTTTGATATGATAAGTTCGATACGTTTTTTGTGACGGCTATATTTTGTAGGGTTAGAGTTTGGAGATATACAGTATAAAAAGCATTATGTCTTGAATATCCTCATAATGATATTAATACCAATGTGTGTGTCTATACAACAGTTAGTTCTGGTCCTCAAATGTAATTGCCTAAGAGGCTTTTCAGGAGTGCTGATCATGTATGTGTGTGTGTGTGTGTATTATGAAAAAGCTTTTATTATTTTCCCACATACAAGTAGAATACAGGCATAGAGACTATGGCATTTATCCATTTTATTTATATAATTTCTAAATGTAGCCTTAGGACTAAAGTATATAATATTTATTGACAAGTGAATTTATTAATATCATAAAAAAAGCCTCGACAGTGTCTAAAGAGGTTTGTTTTGAGACAAATTTGTTGAAAACTACAAAGAAGGAAAAAAAAAAAAAACAGTTGATGAACAATGCGTCTGCTTCATCAGCCATCCACAGTTCATTGCCTTTCAGTCTGTCTGAAAAGGCTTGGTGGACCTTGGTTAGCTTGTATCATGTTTTCTTATGGTTTTCAAAGGGCCATTATGACTGAAACATCACTTAAGGATGGCGGAACATGAAAGGAGGTGGGATGGGGGGAGAGAGAGAGATTAGGCCCCCGAGAGCAGTCTGCTACTGTAAGCCCGTAGTCGCTCTCACACGCAGAGTTCTGCTTTGTGGAAGTCGGTCAACACAACAGACATCATTCACCGCCAGGCTGATAAAGGACGTCCATTTAAATGACAAAAGCAAAGTCATATCAGACTTTAATACGTTTCTCCCCTCTCTTGTAAATGTTGATTTCCTGAAATCCAGTCAGATCTTCTTGAGCAAATCACAAAGGCGCGCTGGCACTCAATCCGGCTCTCGAAAGCTTTGAAAGGTAGATACGTGCATGAATGCCTCTCTCAATTTGTTTCGGCATGGCGCTGTAAGTATCCTGCAATCACACGCTGGCGCCGTGGCAGGTTTTAATTGAGTCCGGTCCTGCGAGTGGTAATTGATTCAGACTCGGCACTCGAGGAGAGACGCCTTTACAAGGTGCTGCTTGGCCTCTCGTTCTTTTAATCTCAGCCTCCTTTTTAATGTCAGGGAATGTGTTTTCCCTGTGCTTCTGCTGGTCATCTTTCTTATGGAAATGCACAATGCTTCACCGAAGAGCGTTCACACTGAAGGGACCCCCTCCATCCTCCCCTTTTTGCATTTTCTTTTTTCGTTTTTTTTTTCTTCTTTTTTCTGATGTAGACTGTCTCACAGCCCTTGGCCACTGATATTTCACACAAAAACAAACTCACTGGATTATCCCTCTGTGTCTCCCGTTACCTTGAGCCAGGCGATATCGGGAAAGTGTGGGATGGAGCACGGGGCAGCCCGCTCGATCCGATATACTGCGAACGCTCAAGTTTTCTTTCAAGCGCTCGAGTGGTGCCTTTGACCGCCCGAGACTGAAATTTCTCTCAGTTACTTTTGATCCTTTAGTTCAAAGTCAGGAGTGGGAGTGAGTGGGTCTTTAGTTCAGGGACACACACCAGGCTGTGACCTTATTTGTGTGCATATGTCCTTTGAAAAAGCAGAACAGCTTCCTTTCTACCCATTTAATCACTGTCTAAGAATGTAGCTCAGTTCACATTAGTTTTATATATGAGTTTAACAGTACAATCACATGTCCTCCTGCAGGACCTGGTTTTCCTCATCAAAATACTTTGAATGTCTTAATTATTTCAATCCCGTGTAACTATCAAGGACTTGAAAAATCTGTTATACAAGTAATGGAGTTTCTGGCACAAATACTCGTAATTAGCTTGTAGGCATCTCGTGATACACACTTAGTTTTAATTGACTCATTTTTGCTCGTTTTAACTAATGCCTTTCATGTTTCCTTGATATTTTGAATGCATTTACTATTAATGGTGAAATATTTCCATAATTTTCCCTTTCCCAACATTATAAAGATTAGTTTAAATCTCACAATTATTATGACTGTAATCACCAGAACGCTATTTATTATTAACAGCGATATGTATTATTAAAAACAAAAGTGAATATTTATGTTTCTAATGACCATAATGGATTGAAAATATGCCGCAATTATATTTTTTTGTCGTCGTCGTCAATAGCTTTAATATAATACACTATCTAATGTGGCGATTATTATTTAATGAATATTTACTCTGTAAGCCATGCCGCTCGCACGATAGGTCACGTGTGAATAATTCATAGCGTTTCTCCTTTAAATCTTCCTCTCTTCTTCAGCGGTGCACTTTCTTTTCTGTCGCACACGTGTCTTCCATTTGCACACAACTTAATGCCAGAAATGATTAATTAATCAGCTACTTTCCCCTCTCATCTTTAGGCTTGGAACTGCCGTTTATGATGATGCCCCACCCCCTGATCCCTGTCAGCCTGCCTCCCGCATCCGTCACCATGGCGATGAGTCAGATGAACCACCTCAGCACCATCGCCAATATGGCCGCCGCAGCACAGGGACAGAGTGCCCCATCTCGAATGGTGACATCAGTGATTAAGGTAACCCACAGCGCCGTTCTCTCATTGTGTCTTGCACATCTCTCATCAGCCATTGGGGGAAGGTGGAGGGGGCTGGGTGGTGCGCGATCCGTGCTTTCATACGGCATTGCAGGGAACAGTCTGTCAGACAATAGCCTGGGAAGAAAGCAAGGAAAGGATGCAGAGAAGGGGTGGGGGGGCGTTGCCTCAAAAAAGAAAAAAGAAAAGCATGGACGCTTGTGTGTCCATAGAGGTGTGTTGCTTAAAGGAATGTGTCATGTAATGGCCGCCCTGGCTGTGTTTGTTTTTCCTGTTGGCTGTGCAGGAACGGGTCCCCGACAGTCCCTCCCCTGCCCCCTCTCTGGAAGACGGCAGGAGGCCGGGGAGCCGTCCCTCATCCCAGCGCAGCAGCAGCGTCTCCAGCTCTCCCGCGCACACGGAGAGCTCCTCCGACAGAATGCGTATGTTCACCTCATAAATCTCTCTCCCACTCTCTTTGTCTCTCAATTTCTCTCCCTCGTCTTTCCCAGGATCTTTGCACACTGGTGCGCATACATTCAAGAGCTGCTAAATACCGCACCGAATGTGCCTCTTGTAAAGAGCGTAGCACATGTGCGCTCTCCTTCTCGCTTTCTGTTTTCAACAGATGGCAAAGAGATATTAACTATCTCTAAGTTTGGTTCTGGCTCATGTTGTGCTAAGACAGACCTCAAATGTTTTCATCATTAGCTGTGTCATAAAATAAAAACAATATCCTTAATCACTGAGAGAGCCTGTATGTATGTTTCTTGTCATCTCTGAAAAATGCTACCATGTTTTATGATGTTATTCTGGAAGCGGTGTCTTAACGAGTAACTGTTTGTTTTGATTAAAAACGTGTTTGAGCTCCAAAAGTTACATTGAAAAGCTGGGGTTTGAACCTGGAAATACGTTGTTAAAATGCTTAAAGAATTCATGAACAGAGAACTTATAAGGCGTTTAGTCATAAAATAAGGCTTCTCATTTCAAAATCAAATCATTAAATGTGTGTGTGACCTTTAATCATTTGAACAACTCTGTACATATGGTCAGATGTTCTTGCTTCCATTAAAGCTCAAGATGCTTGTTGGATCGTCACAAATCATGTGAACTCAAATCAACATAATCAGATTTTACACAAACTCGTGGAGTTCATGCAGCTCCAGCTCTCTTTTTGTCAAAACAAAACACATTATTTAATTCATTTAATTAATATGTTTTTCAATGAGTTTTTGTAGTTGAAACATTTTATTAAATTATACAAATGCTAAATCACTTTCACTTTTAGGAACCCGTTGATTGTTTTATTTTATGTATTTCTACCAGTGAAGTGAATCACAAGGTTTTGTAAAAGGCTTCTTAATTCATAAAAAAAAAAAAAAAAAAATTGCCAGGCAGAGTGGCAAATGTGATTTTGATTGACTGGCGCATTGATTTGGAGATGAGGTATACCACAAGTCACAAACAGTTGAAAGCCAAGGACACATTCACCTTCTCTAGCCACTGGACGATGAGGGCTCTTTTCAGCTAGAATCATTATTTATCACTCGAGGTGTTTTGCGTTGTCATTTGAGAGCGTGTGGAGATGAGAATAATGTGTCTCTGTGTTCTCTCAAAGCTGTGCATCAGAATGGACTGTCGATGAACCAGGCGTTTTTGGGTCTGTCTCCCAGCATCCTACCCGGGCCTAAGGAGGGCGACCTGGCAACTCACGACATTTGCCATGAGGCAAAAAGAATGCACCTCGAGAAAGGTCAGAGTTCAGTACTTAAATCAACTAAACGAAATAGCTCTATTGTTTTATTTTATGGAAAGGTCTGTGAAACATTATTTGTTTGTTATTGTTTTTGTTTTGTTTTTTTCATATTACACTGGATTAGTTCACTTCAGAATTAAAATTCCCTGATAATTTATTAACCCCCACGGCCATCCATGTCTTTCTTTCTTCAGTCGATAAGAAATTAAGGAAATTAAGGTTTTTAAGGAAAATATTACAGTGTTTTTCTCCAAATAGTGGACTCCAATGGGGTACAATGGTTTGAAGGTCCAAACTGCAGTTTCAGAGCAGCTTCAAAAGGCTCTACACACGATCCCAGCCAAGGACTAAGGACTCTTTATCTTATATATATATATATATATATATATATATATATATATATATAATTATTTTTACCACAATTGCTCATCTTGCAGTAGCTCTGCGATGCACATAATGTAATAACATTGAAAGGTCACATGTGTTCTGGTTCAAAAAGGTAAGGTAGGGTGAAACCCCCCATCTCATTTTCTCCTCCAATCTTTCGACATTGTTGTTTTACCTTTTATTTTATTTTTTATTATTTTTTGTAAATGTCGCTTGACTTAGTCTTTGCATGTTCACTTTGTAAACAGTAGGTTAGTACTTTTGCCTACTGTGTGTCACACATGACCTTTCAACGTGATTACGTAATGCATGGCGCATCGCAGAGCAAGTGAAAAACAAGCATTTGTGGTTAAAAAGTATAAATGTTTTTTTATTATTATTATTTTTTTTTTTATGATTGATCTTTTCGCTAGATAAGACCCTTATTCCTTGGCTGGGATTGTGTAAATCTTCAAACGGTTGTACCCTATTGAAGTCCAGTATATTGAGAAAAATCCTTTTTGTTTTCCACAAAAACCTTTATTTTTTTTTTTTTCTCGATTGAAGAAAGACATGAACATCTTGGATGACACTGGGATAAGTAAATTATCAGAAATATTTAATTGTGAAGTGAACTAATCCTTTAATCTCTCTTTTATACTTAAAACTTGGTACAAAAATGTTTGTTTGGATGTTAATGAGTTTAAGTAAGTGTAAGTAATAGTAACTATTAAATAGATTAGTAAAGAAATATGGTGATCACTATACTGTAGCCATGCATGTAGTAGCGGATATATATACAGTATATACTACTCTACTACTGTTTTTATTTATTTATTTATTTTTTTTAAGAAATTAATAATTTTATTCAACCAGCCATCACAGGAATAAATTGAATAGTCTAATATATTAAAACATAAAATATATTAAAATTGTAATAATATTAATGATTTTACTGTATTTTTTGATCAAATAAATGCTGCCTCGGTAAGCACAATACACTTTCAATAAACTTTCTATCCCCAAACTTTTGAAAGGTAGTCTAGTACCTTAACATTACCATTGAGAATATCACTGCGCCATGGTACTGCCATGGTAATTTATTGCTAAGAGTACAATAACTTTTTCATGATCCTTCAATCAAATCTTTCAGATTTTATATTTTAGACTTGAAAATCCATCTAACCTGATCAATTTACAATCGGAACAAAAATAATTCAATAAGCACAGAGGGAGTGTCCATTTAAACACTTTAAGAACACAAATGTAGACATTGCTTATGATTCCCAGATGCTATTTTACTATATGAAATCCAAACAAAATTCCAGCTCATAAGTATAAAATTGGAGGCTGCTAAAAATTCGACAAATTTTTGTACTTTTCAGTTTTCACTATTTACTTTGGTCTTGGTCTCTCATATGCTTTGCATAAACACAAAATGATGCATATAATAGATTTGACAAATTGTCTCCAGGCGGAATGAAGGGCTGGGGAAGTGTTGGAGAGGGTGATAATGACATTAAAACCACGGTGGAAATCACTGGGCTGCACATCCCCTGCTGGATCTGCCCGGAGAGGAGGCGCTGTGTAGCTCTCTCCCATAGACCGACCAAGCCTGTGAATCAAAGTAATTAGCATGATTATATGAATTTACAGGTCAGACCTTAGGTGTGATGGGGGGGGGGGGTGAAGATGAGATTTCTGTGTGGGTCTTAGGGGGATTGGTGTGTGCGGTCGATGTGTTTTGTTGATTCTCGATCTCACGTTTCTAGTGACTGATTGTGTACTATGCGTGGCCACTGACGTCTCGGCCTGTTTATGATAACATTATCACAGTACGCGTGATTTATTTTTTCCTATGTCGTTCCCCAATAGAGATGTGGAGATGGATCTGTCTAATCCCCCGGCACGCCATGGTTCCACCGGCCCCTTAAGATATCAATTGAGTTAGATTGGTCCTGATTCTCTCCGACCGAGTGAAAATCCACATTGTCTATTTGCATCGCTGCTGCATTATCATTCAGACGCTTGGCATGCTTAATATGTCACTCCTCTTGATTAGAATCCAAAGCTCTCTAACGTGTGCGGCAAAGGTCTCGGGCTGTGGAAAACATTTTTATAAAATAATCCATTAATGCAGAGGAGTGCAACTAAATTAGTTACCAATTTGCTGAGCATGAATTAATGAACAGAGCTTCTCCTGGCTCCCAGAGTTGTAATTTTCATAATAACCTCAGACCTTTATTTGGCAGGTTGTTTAGTTTTTTCGTTTGAAGGTTTTCATTAGTCTAATGAGGACTGTGCAAGGGCGAGCAGTCAGCACAATTTACATGAGGAAGCTATCATAATAAATGAGGCAATTTGAATAACACGCACAGGTTTATGCCGCGAGATGAGCGAGATCGTAGCGCCGGATCTGGAGGTAACCAATACATTAGACCAACTAATAACCAAAGTAATCCCAATAAAAGCCTTAAGTGAAGGGAATAAAATTAATGATAGATATATTGAACTGTAATGATATGATACATGATGCATTAGATTAATAAAATAAATGTGTCCCATTGTTAAATAGGAGGGGCTGGTCTGGCTTGGCCTGCTTTTGTTTATGGCAGGCTTTTTAATTAGGGTTGTTCATTGGATCGGTTTGTTTAGACAAATGAGATTACATTCCAATGGTTTAATGATATTTCTCCACTTGTTTGATCTTTATGGTCCTGGCAGAGCATTAAATTAATGCTACGTTGTGCACTTTCGATTCAGTGCTAAATATTACGATTGAGGTTTTTACGTCACCTGTATCCGAGCAGGATACAGGTTTGGGACGTTTTTTTGTGTGTCTCGTGCAGTTCACGTGTTAACCCTTTTGGTTAAGCAGTGTCACACAAGCAAGAGTGCTGTTGTTATAATTAAACGTATGTGATATTCCTTCAAGTTAATGTTTAAATGAGTGTTCCTCTTCCTAAATAAACCAGGACCTAGTGAATCTGTTTGAGTAAACAAATGAACAGTTCAATAAAAAAGAGGTTAATTTGTAAGTAGCTTAAATTTTAGACTTGTTGTGTATTTTTGTTCCGAAACTAGTTCCCAAAAAGTGAAAGCATTATCGTTCTGTGCTTCCGACCAACACACAGTATCAGTGTTTTGTTCCTAAATGAATTAGGAATGAATGTATCTATAAATTATTCAGTGACTCGCTCGTAAAGGCAGTCTCTTGTTTTGTTCCTTAATGAATCAATGCATTTTGAATAAATCAGTTTAGTCAATGATTCAGTAATAGACTCACAGACAGTAACCTGAACAAAACTATTGACTGAATGATTCAATGATTCATTCATATAAACACTAAATTGTTTCATTAATGAATATATCTTTTGTTAATATCTTTTGTATTGTAATGATTCACTCATAAGGAACTCAATCTAAGAACTCAATGCTATCACTCTCAGTTAATAAATTAAAAAGTTCTATAAAATAACACATTGTTAGCACCTCTTTGGTGTCCTTCATCTCTGTCAAGTTTTGCCAGCATATCTGTGCAAGTAGAATTTTTGAGTGCTTTAAGTAGCGCTTTACCTTGAAGTGAAGCAAAAAAGCGAACAGTTTGCTCACATTTATTATAAAGTCTGGACTAATTGAATTGCTTCACAAAGGGAATCTGTCAGAATTGTTTTTGACAAGCCTTGCTCTTGTGAAACAGCAGGTAGTTGACAAACAAGGAAATTTGAAAGGCTCTAAAGCCTTTGGCAGTAAACTCATTTTGGACATCAAACATTTAACATGGTTCCTCTCCTTGGGGGAGCCGCTCGTGAATATATCTACATATGGGCGGGAGCTGTAGCTTAGCGCCGCACAATAACAACACTAGAAGAGTAATTTACAGGATAATAACTGCAAACAGTTTCACTTGCCCAAAGGAATGGTAGAGGTTTATTTTTACCAAATGAGAGCTGCTCTCACATAAATTATTCCTGCGTTATTGATCACAACATATGAGTCATATAAGATGACATTGATGGGTGGCAATGTAATATTAATGTCGCATGGCATGTTTAGTAAGGCAAAATTTTATAATACTTAAAGTTGTCCTAAAAAATGTCACAATTATCTCACCTGATCATAAAAATAATTTCTTTCCAAGTCTACATAAAGCATCACTTGCTTCAAATAATCCAGATGCCTTCATTTTACAAGTGTATATATATATATATGATTATTACCCTTTCCCCCTTTCGTAGTTACCACAGTATTCAAATACGTAAATGACCACATCCTCATCACAAGCATATTGTGTGACTTTGAAGAAACACTGTACCATCACTGAGTCTCTCTATTGACAGTACATCATGACTTTGGTTATGCGAGTGATTGATGCATACACCCCCCTCGTCTGAATTCAGCATTAAATGTGTGTGGAATAATCGGATCTGATTTGGCCAAACAGACAAGCTCAGAGATGCAGTCATATGAATAATGGAGCATGGCAGCCGCAGTATCACTCCGATAATTTGCCAGCTGGTCAGTGAATGGTAAAGCATGTGTTAGCCATTATATGATTTCATCATAAAATACCTCATCCCTAAGAACATCAAAAGATGCGAAAATAAAAGTCCTTTGCTTTTAAAAACTCA